TCAGTCCTTAGATGGGCACTTTAGCAAGAGCAACAAAATCTCCGAGTCGAACGCGGAGACCTTAGTGAACATCGAAGGACACCTATCTGCCATGAGCGACGGCATCAAGAAGCTTGTGGAGCACCAGACGAGTGCCAAGAAAGAGGAATCCAAGGATGCAAGTGTGCCTGAAGGACAGAAGAGGGTGGATCCTACCATGGGTCCCGCCGCAGCTACCGCCAAGGCGGTTGCTGGTGCCCAGCTTGGCACCGCCGCGATGGCACCAAAGGCGATGCCGCTACAGCCAGGGGAAGGCGTTGGATCTTCACCGGCAAATCCAGTGAGTGTGCCTTCACCGGCAAATCCAGTGAGTGTGCCAGGTCCAACGGGACCAGCAGGGAACATGCCACCAGGACCACCTCCTCAGATGGATCCGAATTTGATGGGAATGGCTATGCCTTCGTCATGGGCCTGCTAGCCACCTCCTCAGTTTTTCGGACCAGGCCAGGGTATGACGATGCCCACGCAGCCTCGCTATAAGTGCGGGCTTTTGCCGCGAGATCGGCCCACATCAAATTCTGGCTCTTCAAGGTGACCGCTGCTTTGCCGTTTTCTCCAAAGCTCTGCCCAGCACTGTTATTCTCCATAGTGCCCTCTCCTTTTCTGACTGCACAGTGCCATGCTTGCTGAAGGACGGTTTGTGCTGGAACCGTGAAGTAAGCATTTAAAGTCAATCCTTTGGATTGAGAACCACCAGTCCAACTGCGTCGTGTGCAGGGGCCCCTTGATGTCCCACATGCCACGCGTGTCGCTCAAGAACCTTCGCATTCCTTGCGATAACTGGCAGCCATGCTCGCGCAAAAAAACTACAGCACGTGTCACGCGCAAGCAGCGGTCAAAGCGCGCAAAACTGAGCGCATTCCAGACAATAGAGCGGCCAACCTGATCGTTGAGACAGGGAGCGGCCAGCAGAACAGAAAAGACAGTGCAGGACAGAGGAGCATCCAGCTCTTCTTCCCTGACACAGAGCCGTCTGGCTGTTCACCTGAAGGTGGCCTTGTCGGTCGGCAGCCAGCCTGAGCACACGTCTGGGCTGAACCCAGCTTGCACACTGTTGGTTGTCAAACTCCCTGCAACGGTGGTGTGCATCCAGCAAACCTAGTAGTAAGGCCAGGAGCCCCTAGTAGCATCCCACTCTAAGGTCCCGACGGGAGGGAGGGGTAGGGAGAGAAGAGAAAAAGAAGGGACACCCAGACAAGAAGGAGGGAAAGGAAAGGAAGGAGAAAAGAGAGAGAGGGAAAAGAGAAGGAAGAGGACGTTCCCAGCTACGCACAAACGTCCAGGGACACACCAGTGAGAGAGAGGGGTGAACCTGAGTATTACATTCAGGAACACCCCAAGAGGACAAAAAAGGGGGGAGAGAGAGGAGGGGAGGGGAGGAGGAAGGGGGCTAAGGTCGCGACAGACTCCATGAGTCTAAACGAACTTGGGCCGCTACGGCCACGTACGCCGTGCCATAATGGCTGGCTGCTTTGACCGGCTGTCTTTCAGGGATGCTACGCGCTGGTCACTGTTTTGCACCAGGATGCGTAGACTTTGGTGCGCGAGCCTTTGCTGAATGCTGTTCACTGGCCCTGCATCTTTTTGAGAGCTGCCTTAGACTCTTCCAGATCACCCTTACCCAAGGCTTGACATGGCCGAGCTTCCTCCATTACCGCCTCCATATCGAGGAACTTGTTAGCCTCACTCCCAATAGAAGCTAACCTTACAATGATAGAGTTTGAGAGTTTGCCCAGAGATTGTGAACATGATGGACATTAGATAGATCTACGCAGAGATTATGCCAGGAGAATTCACAGCGGATTGATTCTCAATGGAGGCTTTGTAGCGTAAAAGCACCAAACACTCAAACCCTAATCACCTGTGACATGAAGGGAAAAATCAATGCAGGAAACTTCTTAGCCAGAAGGAGCTTGGAAGATATGAGATCAACGGAAGGACAATATCAAGGTCATAAAGTGATGTTAGAGCAATACATTCAGAAAACCATTGACAAAAGCCTTCAGACCAGGAAATAGAGTTATCTGTCAGAGAACAGTATGAGATAGAGCAGGCAAGGCCGACTGGAAGGAAAACTCAAGCAAGTCATGGAAAAGAGAATGCAACCTATTGGAAAGAGGACTGCAAGAGGCAGCAGATCAAGTTGAAAAATAAAATATAATGTGCAGTTATGAGGAGAGACAACCCAGATACACCACGACCAACACCAACAATCTCTGGGAACCCCGTTCCCTAAAAACATAATACAAGAAAAAATGTGAGAAAATGGACTACGGTGGCAAAGTGAGTCAAAGTAGCAATTAGATCGCTCACACTACTGAGAGGGTTTCCAATAGGAACCATAGCTACTGACATAGCATCATGAGCATTTCGCATTGCGGCATGAAGGACTGCAGCCCTTTTCTGGATCAAAAGAAAGTTCGCAACTTTTGTTCTTTGATGTTTTTCCAAGTTTTTTGGTGGCAAGCGCGTCGAAGGAGAGGAGGGTAAGAGTAAAAGGACAGAAGTAAGAGAAACAAACAAAGATATGTCAAACAATAGCGGGAAAATTGGAATGGGAAACAACAGAAACCCAGGAACACATGCGAACGTGCAAACCTAGACTCCGTAAACGCATGGGGGACATCAGTCAGAGGACAGTCAAGAGCAAGAGCACGCAAACACACAAAAGCCGACGTTGGCGCCTGCTGTTGCGCCAATTTGTTTTTCTAGCTAGTGTGAAAGTTATCGATCTGCCATAGTTTTTTGTGTTTGGTGATGCCGTACCGGAGCAGGAAAAAAAACAACATAATTTCATGCAAACGTTTTTATTTTCACTGCCGTGGTTTGACTCTCAGGTTGCACTTGCTAAATGCAGTTGCCTTTTGCAATTTTTGTTGCTTCCAACTTTTGCATTCCAACTAACGCCTCAAATGGAAGGCGCCTTGATTCCATGCTGTAGCAAAACCATTTCACAATGACATGGTGGTTGGACACTTGACAACACTTTCTACTACAACATTTCCATTCATGTGGCATGCTCGCATGATGTTCGATTTGCAAACTTCCATCACTCTTCTTTGCCATACATTGACAGTGGAAGCTTTGCAGACATGCTGCACCATGGTTTGTGATGCAGAAAATGCTAACTTTTAGTTTTTCCCGACTCACTTTTGATACAGCACCGACCACTGCCAAGTCATACCAATTGAATTGACAAGTCGCGGAGCGAGTTGAGAAGTGCAGTCGCTTAGTTTGGCTCAAAGGGCATCCGTCCTTTCTACTGTACGTGAAGAGACTTTGTCCACCTGAGCGCAAGTGCCATGATTCGCATGTGGACGGGATTGTGGACTTTAGCTTTGCAAGAGCTTTTTGCACATGGCCAGAATGAATTGATTGAAAGCAATTGTGATGTCCAAGGCATGCTCCAATTGAAGTTGCAGCCAGACATCGTCAAGCCAGAAACAACCACAACAGAGCCCGCAGAGGCGAGTGCGGCAAATCTATCAAACAGTTCACAGCCACCTTTGGTGACTCTTATGCCGACGCAAGCGCTTCCAGCTCCAGTGGTAAACATCACAACTTTCCATTGGGAGCCACATTGGCAGTGTGCTGAAACCGATTCCGCTTGCATTGCCGCGGCTTTGAGCAAGTTCAAAGAGTTGGTCAGTGAGTCCGGTGCCCAAATCGTTGGAGCTTTGGAGTTGAAAGGGGCATCCGGCGCTTTACCTGGTTGGTCTTCGTCAAAGGAGTATGAAGATGCCGTCTCGGTCATGGTGGCTCCGGGCTGGCAAGTACTGAAGGAGGGAGGCGGACACATTTGCTGCGATGGTCAGAGAGGATTGGCCGTGATGCTGGTCAAGCCGCCGTTTCAAGTGTCGAACTGTGACACTTTGTGCGTGATGGCCGTGCATCCAGGTCATTCTCCAATTCAGAGTGGAGAGTCCATCGTGAAAAGTGTTTGCGGCGATGCGACAACCTCGTGCGCTATAGCGGTTGGAGACTGGAATGTGGACGCTGCTGGTGTCGTTGGTGGATCCTTCAACACCTGGCAAAGACTCGTGGGAGGCAACCCACCTTCATTTGTGGTTCCTGACTCAGAGACCTGCTGCTACCCAAGTACTTGCTGCAAGTTCGACCATGTGGTCACCAACATCCCAGGTGCTGAACCACTCCAGGTTCATGTGTGGCCCTATCAACTCTTGGGCCAGTTCGGAATGGATGAGGAGCACATGCCCGTTGCCGTGCGTTTCAGCGCACCAGCGAAAACCACCTTGATCGGTTAGGAAGGAGCCAAGGCGTGCCAAGGCCTCTCATTTGCAGCCTTTTTGTTGAAGAGCTTGTATATGTTGGGAAGACTCGAGACCGGTGCAACTAGTCATCAGGCTTCTCGTAGGTCTGGCACACGTCCAGATTACAAGTCAGGTCCCAAGATTTCTTCAAGTCACGGCTGCTTTTGCTTCAAGCCGACATGGAAGAAAAAACACGCGGAAAGGAACTTGTAGGCAGTTTTTGCACCTTGCATCAAGTTGCAGTCGTGGGAACCAACAAACCGAGTTTCGAGTTTGTTCTTGACTTGGGTAGCAGTTGTGTTGGTTGAGTGGAGGCAAACAAACTAGCCATGTCACCCGTGTGGGATCATGACAGATGATTGAATTGTGTGAGGCAGGGGCTCCTTGAATTGAGAGCTCATTTCACATCTACAGTAGAGGATTGTTCATCTGCAGAGCCAATCTGGATTCGAAGCAATACAACACTTCACTTGACCGAGCTGAATAGTAGTTGGCAGCGCCCAGATCATGCTTTATACAATTTTTACAACTGGTCTATTGAAAAGAATGGTGAAGAGAAGTCAAAGTTGTGGATTGGGCGGTAGTGCAAGTTCGCTACATGTTTTTCCCGTTCTCATATAGAGTGCAGAGAGGCTGCAGTGACTCATTCAATAGTACCATTCTCGATAAAATAGAACCAAGAACAGTCCTGGAGCATTCTTATAGACTGTTCCAACAGTCAGTGTGGGCCCCATTCTGGGCTGATCGTGGTTCTGGCTTGGTCTGGTGGCCGCCATGGATGCGCTGGGGTTTCCTCAGGAGCAACTTTTATCCTTGTATGTTTAACGGAACACACAGGGCCTAGGCGTTTTTCCTTTTTTGCAAGGTAATGCAGGGGCCTCCTGTCAATATCAATGTGGTCCAAAATGGGCCGAGTCCTGATGATTGTCCAGCAGCACATGATTGACATGATAATTGACATCTTTCTTTGAGTCCTGACACCTCTCAGCAAATACATTTTTCATTGAGCATTGATTCATCCCATCAAAGCATGAATGGCCTGACTTCAGGTTGGGTGCCCTACCTCCAAACTTGACATTTCTTCAGCCGCGACCATCAATGAAGGGAAGGGTGGTGCAACGCTGCAAAGGACTGTTTGCATCAGCTGACATGCAACTGTGGTTTGTTTGCCTGGAGAGTTCCCCCATCAAGTTGTGGTCCTGCAAGCAAGGTCAGGAACCTTGCGATGTTCTTCTGCGCTTCATGTCTCTAAAGACCTATACAAAAGCTGAGGCAATTGCCTCCAGATGCTCAAGCTGCAGTGGGAGTGCAGGCAGCGGCTGGGCAAACTATGCCTTGGCCTCGACCTGCAAACAGTACTGTAGCAGTTTTGACACAACATTTCTCAAGTGTTGTGTTCCCGTGCTTTATTGGCTAGCCGGACAATGTGGACCAATTGCCTTCGGGGTAAAATCAAGAGTCATTCTGTGGAGGGCAGTGTTCCTTGTTCAGCGGGCTTCTCTCCTGTTTCTGAGCACCGTCACATGTCTGGTAGATGCATGACATTAGCTTTGTTGACGATGTTCTTTTGCATTGGCATGTTGGTCCATTTCATGGGAGAATCTGTGTGCAGAAGGCCTTCAGGCGGCTTCGCTCCACACCCAATGCTAGGCCGGTGCCATGCAACTCACTGTGATTTGCAGAGTGATGCAGACAAACCCATAAAACTCAGTGACCCTCCTCCATGCAACTCGCCAGCCATGGGCAGCCCCATGGGCCATGCCTGGTGGCGCCATGTCTACTCGTTTTCAGGTGTCCAGCAGATGCATCCAGGTCGATCTCCGAATTGCCATAGTGTGGTTTCGACCTTGCTGGGGGTATTCACCGTTTTGGAATCCTTTGGATTGATTGCTTGCAGGTCTTGCAGGTGTGTTCCCCGGTGTGGGCCAGCCAGCTGGACTGCCAGTAGGTATGCCTGGACAGCCAGCTGGGCCACCCTTGGGTATGCCCGGACAGCCAATGGGCATGCAACAGCCTTGGGTTGCTGGGGTGACCAGGAGAGTCTCAGAATTTCTGTTGTGTTTGGCCCTCATCGCTAGACGACCAAGGCCGACGCAATCTGCACCAAGCATGATCCCGTGGGGAACTCGATAAGGATTAGATTGTGTAGCCTGAAAGCTACAACCTACAGATAGCATTGGAGAGGCTCCATTTGAAGCTACTAAGTCCCATGCAGCCAGCTCCTACCTTACCTCCAACTATGCCTGCTGCCTAGTTTCTGGCAATGCTCGGTCGGTTGCTTTTTGAATGTTGAATCCCTTGTATAGCAGTAAGTTGGCCAGGAGCAAAGCTCCTCCTGATCAATTCCCAAGGCCTTCCATTACACCCAACACATGTCAATTTCCTTGTTTTCCCAATTTCACTTGTGTTGCAGGCCAGTGGCGCCGCCTCGCGGTATGCCTCGCCCGAGACCCCGTGGTTGGATGCCTCCCCACGAGGTCTCCGTAGCTGGATGCCTCGTCGCGTGTGTTCCGTGTTCCGTGCAGTCACTTCATAGGCACCGCATCCATACCGACCCAGAGTCCCCATGCAGGCAGGATATGGGAAGACGGTTTTCTAAGTCTGGAGAAAGCTTTTCTTTTGTGGTATGCATGCTTTGGCGACGTTTCAGGCCGCTGGTTTGAAGACACTTACTCGAAGAAGTTCTTGGCTAGACTTGAGAATGTGTCCGGTATTTTCACCAACTGGAATGGGAGCTGGACACGAAACTATATTGCATGGTAGTCATTCTACCAGTGTCACGTTTCTTAGCACTTTGTACAGACGTTTGGATTCGTGGTGTGCAGGCCCGGCCGGGCATGAGACCGGCACAAACGGTACCTCCACGCCCTGTCCCGCCAAGGAGACACGGGAGTTTGGTGGATTGCCGTGCAGGTTGCAATTTACCAGATTTGGACCAACCTGTAAGCTGGGAAACGAAACGAAAATAGGCATGCCTGTTCGTTCACAGGCTCTAGCACAAATCAAGGGTCTTTTTCACATAGGTTGCAAAGAGAGCTCAAGACTGTCGTTGACTGCTTATCACACTTGGCAAGCTTTGCTTCCTTGGCTTCAACCCAACCCTTGAGATCTCGGATGTGAGGACTCCCATGTTCCTTCCTCAGCCAGACAGTTCGTGAATTGCGAAGGTGCTTTGATGGAAAGCCAGTGAACGCGGCTGTTCTCATAGCCACTCTGGCTGATCAGTCATGATCGGGACACGTAGTTAGTGTCTCCTCGCACTTTGCAGTCATGATCGGCCCTCCGATCTAGACATCGCTCGGACAGTCAAGACAGCAAATCAGACTTGAATTGTGCTCCGCGATGTTGCCGACTCCCGCCATGTCGCCCCTTTCTCACCATGGTGATGGGTATTCCTTTCAACACGGCGAGGAGGTGATCCGCCAATTTGTGCCGTGAAGCTTTGTATCTGCATTGTTCAGCAAACGCTTCACAGGCTCCAAAGCAAGTGGTGGTGGACTTGGAGGAACGACGAGACCGCGCTTCGGGGCGACTTTCGACGGGGTTTAGCGGACCGAGTTTTGACGCGTTTGGTAGGAGCCGCCGGGTGAGAAATTCTGGTTCCCGCAGCCTGGGCCTCTTGCGGGCGTAAAGACCAGGGGGAAGGCCAGAAGATGCGGTGCAAAAATCAATGTGCAATCCAGCAGAGGAGTGATGCCGCGCAGGCGATTCTCAAGCTGAATCATGCCACCTATCGATATCCTGGGCAAGATAAGCCAGCGATCAGGGACATCGAGCTTGCTGTCTCTCAGGCCCTTGGTCGAAGCCAAAGCCTGTCTTGGTCTTGAAACTTGGGAACACTTGGAACACCAAAGGCACCACTTGTGCCACTTGTGCCATTTCGTTATTTTGGCACTGTTGGCACCATTGGCACCGCTTCGTCGTGACAGCGCCGCAGGCGAGCCGAGTGGCTCTTCTTGGACCCACTGGCTCTGGGCGCTCCACCTTGCTTCAGGTCTGGCCGAGTCTGAGTCAGGTGAAAGTTCATACTTTTCTTTTGACATGTGTGTTCCACACCTCCTTGCTATTAGGTTGGAGGCCATCGCTAGTAGGTTGGAGGCTGGAGGATCGCAGACATC